GGCAGTAGCCAGCTGAGACTGCTGAAGGTCCCGAGCCTCTACTTCAACCCCAGCGCTGCCAGCACTGCCACCACTGCTGAGGATTGCTTCTGTGCAGGGCGGCCAAAAGGGCAGAGATGGGGAGTAGATAGGCAGGTGGGGTGGAGTTCTTAGTCAGGACTGGGAGGGACCAAGTTGGGAATGGCTTAGATCGGGCTGGATGCTTGCCTAACGACAGGGTGGGATTCAACCTGGGAATGAGCAACAGGGACTGCCAGCCATGCTGTTGCTAAGAAATGCAGTCATGTGACATCACGCTTTGTGACCACATTGCTTAACAATGGAAAGTCCGGTCTCAATTACTGCAGTAAACCAAGGACTACCTGTATTGATTAACATAATATGAAAAAATGCAAGAAATTGTTTGCAAAACTGTGTACATTATGCAAAATTGCAAACAAAAATCAAGTTCTTCAGAACCTTACGACTTCACAGAACACAGTTTGAAAAACTCTGATCTAGTAAGTTTCATTAGGTTGAGGAAAAAGTGCCTTAGGTACTTTCCAAATGCTTGGGGGTAATGTGAAGGAAGCTACAATGTAGGTGACATGTTGTTTTTGAGAGTCAGTATACGGTGATGGTGAAGGTATTCAACCGGCTCTGGGAAGACTTAGTTCTGCTTTATCGTCATCCATAGGATGATAGGATTGTTGTGGGACAATAACATTGTAAGATGTTTGGAGCTGGAATTCTCTGTTTCGCTGAATGAAAGCTACAGAAGAAATGTTGTCCTTCTTTGCATCTGGTATATAAGTCTTCATTTCAAAACAAGGTATTTTACCATGTTGAATATTAGAGAAACAAAGACACATTCTTCAAGAGAGCATCAGGATGCTCCCTGATCTTATTGTATTATATATGGAAATGTCAACGTATCTAATGACAAAGATCTATAGTTTTTTGTTTGTGAATAATTCTGCAAGGCAATTCTTACCCAACAAGGTGGTTATTTGCTCTCCCCTTTGAATAATAAAAATAGAATAATTAAATTTGCAGAAATAATCCTGGAATTATGTGAAGACTACAAATGCATGTATACATTGATGGCTATTACATACATAGTTTGTGTAGGAAGAATATGATGGACTTCCTAGTTTTCTTAAATGATGGTTTCCCTTTTCATTACATATAGCCATATCATTCAGTTTTATTTCCTGCAAGTAATTACTGCAAACAGAAGTTTACGATTATTATGGCATTACTCAACTGCGGTATGATCCACCTTTTAGTTTTCTTCAAGCAATGGGCACTTAACTGGCAATTTCAAGCCTGATCTTTTGAGGACAGTCACTGCATAATCAGACTTGTTCTGCAGAAATAAGAAATAGACTATTGGAAACTTTCATTATGCTAAATTATAATTCACCTAGTATTCTCATTTACCAAGGCTATACATTTCGATTAAATAAGTTTCCCCTGGAATGTTTCTTTGGATAATTGACTTTTTGACCTTATGCTCTTATGCTTGCAATGGAAGTATTTGCTGTATAGGGAGACTGATAAATTGCTTTCTTGGCTAATACTGGGTTGTTTATAAGTGGAAGAAAATATTAGCTACTTATTGAACTAAAACCTTGACAACATTCTCACATTGCGTAGATAGCTACTTCCTTTATTTATTACATTTGTATGCCAAACTTTAATTATTTATTTATCAAATTTATATAGCTGCCCACTTCACTAATGTAACTCTGAGAGGTGTACAATAAAACAATTATATCTTAAATAACCATTAAAACAATAAAATATAAATAAGATCACAGAAGAATGCACCAAAATCTTACATACAATGCAACCATTTCTCATTCTTCTTATTAATAATATTAATTATTATTCTTGAGAGCTAGTTTGGTGTAGTGGTTAAGGCATCAGGCCAGAACCAGGGACTGGGAGTTCTAGTCCTGCCTTAGGCACGAAGTCAGCTGGGTCACCTTGGCCCAGTCACTCCTCAGCCGTAAAAAGGAGGCAATGACAAACCACTTCCAAAAAACCTTGCCAAGAAAACTGCAGGGACTAGTCCAGGCAGTTGCCAGGAGTCAAAACTGACTCATATAGACTTCTGGAGAAAGAAATGGCAGATTGAGGATAGCTTTGCAAAAAAGCAGAGCTGACGACCGTGGTGAAGAATGAAGAGCCAATGAGTAGACTAGCTTTTCAGGATTTTTCCAGACAAGGAGAGGACAGATCCCCCAAATGTGCTACAAACAGTTGCTCCTCATGAGGAGACTGCAAGACAGTGGTTGCAGGTTGGTTTTGAGCACTGGGAGATGATGAGAATAGCCATCTTGCTCGCAACCATGGCTGGCACCTTTTAAAGGATACTAAGTTCACAAACTTCCTATTCTAATCATGTTTGAAAATTGCTTGTTAACTACTTTTAAGCTATTAGAGACCTTTGGATTGACAAGTCTGAAAATGCCAGGTGAATTTGCCTTCAATCCTTAATGAAAGAAAATTTTAATCATAAGCTTAAGAATTAAAAAAAAATTGAAATAAACAGAGAAAAGCTAAATACAGTGGTACCTCAGGTCACGAACGCTTCTGTTCACGACCAATTCGGGTCACCAACAGCTTGCAACCGTTTGCAAAATTTTGCCTCCGTTCGCAAACGCCGGATCGGGTGATGAACAGGATCCGCGGCCATTTTCCCTCCCGTGACACGGTCCGCAGCCATTTTCCCGCCTGTGACCGGTGGTCCGCGGCCATTTTTCCACCCGACACGTGGTCTGTGGCCATTTTCCGCCCCTGACACGTGGTCCGCGGCCATTTTTCCGCCCCCGACACAGGGTCTGCGGCCATTTTCCGCCCCTGACACATGGTCTGCGGCCATTTTTCCGCCCCCGACACAGGGTCTGCGGCC